CGATTCAGCCTGAAGACGGCAGATGATCTAGTCCGAGGTGTCTCATGGCGTGTCTGCCCTCTCACCCCTGAGAGTATACATAGGGACAGAGCAAGCTGCATGCAAGGTGTGAGATGGGTTGCAAGGACTTAAGGTTGTCGCCCAGCTGAAGCGGGACTCACTCCAGCTCAACTTGAACGCCAGAGACCATCTGGCAGTGAAGCTGTGTTGCTACCTAGATGTTTTACCGTTGTGATGAGATGATCGATGAAGTCTAAAGACGAAGAGGTCAGATCCTACTTGCAAGCTTCTTTTCGAACATTTTCACACGCTTTCGAAAAGAAGAAATCGCCAGCGATGCCATCAGCGTCTCTGCTACGCAGCGTCTTGGCTGCAATGCAGACTGGACCTAGGCGTACATCGTTTTCGACATCGAACGGTGATTAGAATATGTACTCGCGGAGACTACGTCCACGTTCAACACTGCTTTTGGGGCCTTCTCTACTCATCATCCGGCCACCCGTTGCCTTCATTGTATTCGTTCATATTGACGGACCCGTACAGCTTCTCGTACCGCTTCAGCTGCCCGTCGGGGGCCGTGTCCTGGTTGATGATGGGCTCGCCTTTGACCATGGCCGCGATGCGCTCGCCGGCGTCCTTGCCTTCGTAGTACGCTCCGTGCATGAACCCGTAGTACTTGGCCGAATTTGCCTCGCCTGAGAACCAGAGGCGGCCGACGTTGGCACGCAAGTTCTGGTGCTTGGTCAGGGTCATGCCGACCGGCCAGTTGCTGTAGGAGCCAAAGGCCCACCTGCTGTCGTCAGTGGACGTCGCCTGGTAAGGACACTCGGCGAAGACTCACTCTTCTTGGCCCCAACGGGGGTACATGAAAGCCGTCGGCTCGGGCACGTTCGCGTCAGGGAACATCTTGCGCAGCACCGCGAGAATCTGCGCCTTGGTCTCCTCGTCTGTCTGCTGCTCGGCGCGGAATGCTTGGTGTCCGACGACGGTGCCGAAAAGAATGTTGGAGCCCTCGAGAAAGCCGGGAGCGCCGAGGTTCTGGAAGACGGATACCACCCACGTTCGTCCTCGTCGGCGTAGAGGAGGAACTGCGCGTCTTCGGGCCAGAAGGACTCGTTGAACTGCATGAAGATCTTGGTGTAGGTGCCCATCTGGAACTGCTCAATGGCCTCGCGCTTCCACACGGGCAGGCGAGGCTTGAACTCGACAACATCGTTCTGCAGCACGCCGACGGAGAAGGTGCAGATGGCGTACTCCGCCTCGACGCAGCCGCCGTTGCGGTCGTGCACGACGACGCCCTTGGTGCTGTGCTCGATGGCGTCGACAGTGGTGTTGAGGAGCAGCCTGGGGTCCTCGATACCGTCGAGGAAGGTCAGGGCCTCCTCGCGGACAAAGGCGTTGAGGCCGCGCTCCTCGATGGCGAGGTAGCGCTCGTCGCCGAAGCGGTTGAAGGTCTCGTTGTCCCCGGTGATGCCGAACTGGAAGCCGCACTCGTCGGGCGACCAGGAGACGCCAAAGTCCCAGCTCCACCACTCGGAGGCCTGGGCGAGCATATCGCGGCCAGGCTTCCACCCGGCGACGCTGAGGCCGGCGCGCATCGACGAGTCCTGGAGGTCGTTTTCGAGAATGGAGGCGGCGTCTTGCGTGGCGATGGTGAAGTTGCCGTCGTACTCGTCGAGGAGGTGGAGGTAATCGTTTGCGCCTTGGTGGTCATAGGAGACAAGGGCGCTGTAGTTGGAGAAGACGCTCTTGATCTTGGCCTTGTCGGTGGCCTCGAGGATCGGGTTCTTGACAGGTCCTGTGGCGCCGACGCCCTCGATCCAGTTCGCGCCGAGCTCGACGGTGTACGGCGACCGTCGGGTTTTGCACCAAACGTCGTGGAA